ATAAACCCCTTCTCCTGTATATATTACTAAATGTAAAAGGAGAAACTTTCATTTTCCTTTTGGGCCACCCTGCCTCGGTGGGATACGGCGGGTGTGTTGAAAGAAGAAAGAATAATAATTATTATTATAAATATTAATTTAGGGAACTGAAGCACAGATCCAATTCCACAGAGCAAGAGCCCTTCACCATGTACGTAACAATAATAATAATAATAATAATTATTTTATAGGTAGTAGGTTGGTAGACAGCAACCACCCAGGGAGGCACTACCGTCCTGCCAAGTGAGTGTAAAACGAAAGCCTGTGATTGTTTTACATGATGGTAGGATTGCTGATGTCTTTTGTCTGTCTCATATATATGCAAGATTACAGGTATGTCTTGCTACTTCTACTTACACTTAGGTCACACTACACATACATGTACAAGCATATATATACACACCGCTCTGGGTTTTCTTCTATTTTCTTTCTAGTTCTTGTTCTTGTTTATTTCCTCTTATCTCCATGGGGAAGTGGAACAGAATTCTTCCTCCGTAAGCCATGCGTGTTGTAAGAGGCGACTAAAATGCCGGGAGCAAGGGGCTGGTAACCCCTTCTCCCGTATAAATTACTAAATTTAAAAAGAGAAACTTTCGTTTTTCTTTTTGGGCCACCCTGCCTTGGTGGGATACGGCCGGTTTGTTGAAAAAAAAAAAAAAAAAAAAAAAATCTGAGTTTTCTTTGATTTTATCTTAATAGTTCTTGGTCTTATTACTTTTCCTTTTATATCCATGGGGAAGTGGAATAAGAATCTTTCCTCCGTAAGCCATGCGTGTCGTAAAAGTCGACTAAAATGCCGGGAACAATGGCTAGTAACCCCTTTTCCTGTAAAGATTACTAAAAAGAATAAGAAGAAGAAAATTGTCAAAGTGGGAAGTCTGAATGTGCGTGGATGTTGTGCAGATGATAAGAAAGAGATGATTGTGGATGTTATGAATGAGAAGAAGCTGGATGTCCTGGCTTTAAGTGAAACAAAGCTGAAGGGGGTGGGAGAGTTTCAGTGGAGAGGAATAAATGGGATTAGGTCAGGGGTTTCAAATAGAGTTAGAGCTAAAGAAGGAGTAGCAATAATGTTGAAGGATAAGCTATGGCAGGAAAAGAGGGACTATAAATGTATTAATTCAAGGATTATGTGGAGTAAAATAAAGATTGGATGTGAAAAGTGGGTTATAATAAGCGTGTATGCACCTGGAGAAGAGAGAAGTGTAGAGGAGAGAGACAGATTTTGGGAAATGTTGAGTGAATGCATGGGGAGTTTTGAATCAAGTGTGAGAGTAATGGTGGTTGGGGATTTCAATGCTAAAGTGGGTAAAAATGTTATGGAGGGAGTAGTAGGTAAATTTGGGGTGCCAGGGGTAAATGTAAATGGGGAGCCTTTGAGCTATGTGTAGAAAGAGATTTGGTAATAAGTAATATATATTTTATGAAAAAGAGGATAAATAAATATACAAGGTATGATGTAGCACGTAATGAAAGTAGTTTATTAGATTATGTATTGGGGGTTAAAAGGTTGATGGGTAGGCTCCAGGATGTACATGTTTATAGAGGGGCAACTGATATATCAGATCATTATTTAGTTGTAGCTACAGTTAGAGTAAGAGGTAGATGGGAAAAGAGGAAGGTGGCAACAACAAGTAAGAGGGAGGTGAAAGTGTATAAACTAAGGGAGGAGGAAGTTCGGGTGAGATATAAGCGACTATTGGCAGAAAGGTGGGCTAGTGCAAAGATGAGTAGTGGGGGGGGGTTGAAGAGGGTTGGAATAGTTTTAAAAATGCAGTATTAGAATGTGGGGCAGAAGTTTGTGGTTATAGGAGGGTGGGGGCAGGAGGAAAGAGGAGTGATTGGTGGAATGATGAAGTAAAGGGTGTGATAAAAGAGAAAAAGAGAGCTCATGAGAGGTTTTTACAAAGCAGAAGTGTTATAAGACGAGCAGAGTACATGGAGAGTAAAAGAAAGGTAAAGAGAGTGGTGAGAGAGTGCAAAAGGAGAGCAGATGATAGAGTGGGAGAGGCACTGTCAAGAAATTTTAATGAAAATAAGAAAAAATTTTGGAGTGAGTTAAACAAGTTAAGAAAGCCTAGGGAAAGTATGGATTTGTCAGTTAAAAACAGAGTAGGGGAGTTAGTAGATGGGGAGATGGAGGTATTAGGTAGATGGCGAGAATATTTTGAGGAACTTTTAAATGTTAAGGAAGAAACAGAGGCAGTAATTTCATGCACTGGTCAGGGAGGTATACCATCTTTTAGGAGAAAAGAAGAGCAGAATGTAAGTGTGGGGCAGGTACGTGAGGCATTACGTAAAATGAAAGTGGGTAAAGCAGCTGGAACTGATGAGATCATGACAGAAATGTTAAAAGCAGGGGGGGATATAGTGTTGGAGTGGTTGGTACTTTTGTTTAATAAATGTATGAAAGAGGGGAAGGTACCTAGGGATTGGCGGAGAGCATGTATAGTCCCTTTATATAAAGGGAAAGGGGACAAAAGAGACTAAAAATTATAGAGGAATAAGTTTACTGAGTATACCAGGAAAAGTGTACGGTAGGGTTATAATTGAAAGAATTAGAGGTAAGACAGAATGTAGGATTGCGGATGAGCAAGGAGGTTTCAAAGTGGGTAGGGGATGTGTAGATCAAGTGTTTACATTGAAGCATATATGTGAACAGTATTTAGATAAAGGTAGGGAAGTTTTTATTGCATTTATGGATTTAGAAAAGGCATATGATAGAGTGGATAGAGGAGCAATGTGGCAGATGTTGCAAGTATATGGAATAGGTGGTAAGTTATTAAATGCTGTAAAGAGTTTTTATGAGGATAGTGAGGCTCAGGTTAGGGTGTGTAGAAGAGAGGGAGACTACTTCCGGTAAAAGTAGGTCTTAGACAGGGATGTGTAATGTCACCATGGTTGTTTAATATATTTATAGATGGGGTTGTAAAGGAAGTAAATGCTAGGGTGTTCAGGAGAGGGGTGGGATTAAATTTTGGGGAACCAAATTCAAAATGGGAATTGACAGTTACTTTTTGCTGATGATACTGTGCTTATGGGAGATTCTAAAGAAAAATTGCAAAGGTTAGTGGATGAGTTTGGGAATGTGTGTAAAGATAGAAAGTTGAAAGTGAACATAGAAAAGAGTAAGGTGATGAGGGTGTCAAATGATTTAGATAAAGAAAAATTGGATATCAAATTGGGGAGGAGGAGTATGGAAGAAGTGAATGTTTTCAGATACTTGGGAGTTGACGTGTCGGCGGATGGATTTATGAAGGATGAGGTTAATCATAGAATTGATGAGGGAAAAAAGGTGAGTGGTGCGTTGAGGTATATGTGGAGTCAAAAAACGTTATCCATGGAGGCAAAGAAGGGAATGTAGGAAAGTATAGTAGTACCAACACTCTTATATGGGTGTGAAGCTTGGGTGGTAAATGTAGCAGCGAGGAGACGGTTGGAGGCAGTGGAGATGTCCTGTTTAAGGGCAATGTGTGGTGTAAATATTATGCAGAAAATTCGGAGTGTGGAAATTAGGAAAAGGTGTGGAGTTAATAAAAGTATTAGTCAGAGGGCAGAAGAAGGGTTGTTGAGGTGGTTTGGTCATTTAGAGAGAATGGATCAAAGTAGAATGACATGGAAAGCACATAAATCTATAGGGGAAGGAATGCGGGGTAGGGGTCGTCCTCGAAAGGGTTGGAGAGAGGGGGTAAAGGTTTTGTGGGCAAGGGGCTTGGACTTCCAGCAAGCGTGTGTGAGCGTGTTAGATAGGAGTGAATGGAGACGAATGGTACTTGGGACCCGACGATCTGTTGGAGTGTGAGCAGGGTAATATTTAGTGAAGGGATTTCAGGGAAACCGGTTATTTTCATATAGTCGGACTTGAGTCCTGGAAATGGGAAGTACAATGCCTGCACTTTAAAGGAGGGGTTTGGGATATTGGCAGTTTGGAGGGATATGCTGTGTATCTTTATATGTGTATGCTTCTAAACTGTTGTATTCTGAGCACCTCTGCAAAAGCAGTGATAATGTGTGATTGTGGTGAAAGTGTTGAATGATGATGAAAGTATTTTCTTTTTGGGGATTTTCTTTCTTTTTTTGGGTCACCCTGCCTCGGTGGGAGACGGCCTACTTGTTGAAAAAAAAAAAATGTATAATGTACTATTATTGGTATAATAATATATTTTTTTTTTTTTTCAACAAGTCGGCCGTCTCCCACCGAGGCAGGGTGACCCAAAAAAGAAAGAAAATCCCCAAAAAGAAAATACTTTCATCATCATTCAACACTTTCACCACACTCACACATTATCACTGTTTTTGCAGAGGTGTTCAGAATACAACAGCTTAGAAGCATATATGTATAAAGATACACAACATATCCCTCCAAACTGCCAATATTCCAAACCCCTCCTTTAAAGTGCAGGCATTGTACTTCCCATTTCCAGGACTCAAGTCCGACTATATGAAAATAATACATATTATACATATTACACATATTATTAATAGTAGTAGTAGTACGTACGTATTATAATAATAATTATCATTATTATTAATATAGGGAACTGGAGCACAGATCCAATTCCCTGGATCAAGGGCCCTTCACCAAGGAACCTCCCTTGAGGGGGAAGGATTTATCCTGAAATTTTGTTCGTATCCAGAAGTAAAAAATCGACCGAACGATGGTTCGCATCCTGAAAAGCTCGCATGGTGGAGCATTCATAAGCCGAGGTTCCACTGTATAATTATCAGAGTATATAAAAAATGTGAAATAACTTTAAAACACTTAAAATTTGGAAAGTGTCCAGACATAATGGAGAGACGTGGAGCTCACGGGGCTCACGGAGAATGTAAACAAACCGTGTGGGGCGCGGTGACTGTATTAGAATGTCAGGTGGGGGGGGAATTAGTGGAATGCTGTAAGGAAAAACGTTGTAAAGCACGGCCCTACAGTACTTCATTTCCTTTATGATTTCTGCACTTACTTTTCAATTTTCTCTGCCACTGCATTTCTATGAACATATCATTACACTTTTCAAAGAAATCAGTGACTTTAGTTCCCTGTTCATCCCGTTCAGCAGTTTGGTAGACTCTCTGTTTTGTTTCTCTTGTCAGGTAATTGCAGATCTCTGGGATAGGGAAAACAATTTGCTCCATTGTGCGGTCACTTCGAACAATCTGGAATTATAATACCATTAGGTAGTTAGCAGTATACACTCTGGCTAAAAACACCCAGTACAAGTACATGTACTTATACAGAAATACACAAGGTACATGCTATGAAGTGAGTATAATTTCTTACAATTGAGAACAGAAAGGAAAATAACTGGACATGAATACGTGTGATAATCAATGGACAGAATAAGATAGTGATTCATGAGCAGCAGTCTAATGGACAATCATTCTCATAATTGTAATTCATTCTCCTGTTGGTAAAAATAATCTGCTATACCTGTTATAAGAACATAAAAAAGAAGGAACATTGCAACAGGTCTACTGGCCTATGTGGGGCAGGTCCAATTCTCCCACTGGCTTAAACCAATAAGTAATACATATTTTATGAAAAAGAGGATAAATAAGTATACAAAGCATGATATAGCACATAATAAAAGTACTTTGTTAGATTATGTATTGGTGGATAAAATGTTGATGGGTAGGCTTCAGGATGTACATGTTTATAGAGGGGCAACTGATATATTGAATCATTATTTAGTTGTAGCTACAGTTAGAATAAGAGGTTGATGGAATGAAAGGAAAATGTCAACAACAAGTTAGAGAGAGGTGAAAGTATATAAACTAAGGGAGGAGGAAGTTAGGGTGAGATATAAGCAACTACAGTGGACCCCCGGTTAACGATATTTTTTCACTCCATAAGTATGTTCAGGTGCCAGTACTGACCGAATTTATTCCCATAAGGAATATTGTGAAGTAGATTAGTCCATTTCAGACCCCCAAACATACACGTACAAACGCACTTACATAAATACACTTACATAATTGGTCGCATTCGGAGGTAATCGTTATGCGGGGGTCCACTGTATTAGCAGAAAGGTGGGCTAGTGTAAATATGAGTAGTGGGGGGGAAGGTTGAAGAGGGTTGGAATTGTTTTAAAAATGCAGTATTAGAATGTGGGGCAGAAGTTTGTGATTATAGGAGGGTGGGTGCAAGAGGAAAGAGGAATGATTGGTGTAATGAAATAAAGGGTGTGATAAAAGAGGAAAAGGTAGCTTATGAGAGGTTTTTACAAAGCAGAAGTGTTATAAGAAGAGAAGAGTATATGGAGAGTAAAAGAAAGGTGAAGAGAGTGGTGAGGGAGTGCAAAAGGAGAGTAGATGATAGAATTTGAGAGGCATTGTCAAGAAATTTTGATGAAAATAGGAAAAAAATTTTGGAGTGAGATAAACAAGTTAAGAAAGCCTGGGGAACGAATGAATCTGTCAGTTAAAAACAGTAGATGATTTAGTAGATGGGGAGATGGAGGTATTGGGTAGATGCCAGGAATATTTTGAGGAACTTTTAAATGTTGATGAAGAAAGGGAGGCGGTAATTTCATGCACTATTTAACGTGTTTCTTATATAATTTTGAAGAAAATATCATGTATGGATTAATGAAAATGTCTATATTGATGTAAAATTAGACATTTAATGTGCTCAAGAGTGATTATTATTACATAATTGAGAGATGTCCTCATGGAGAATGTAAACAAACCGGGTGGTGCGTGCCATTTTTGAAAGACCACTTGCCGTACAGAAAGTTTTGGTCATAATATTAGCGGAACGCTGTAAGGCCAAATGCCGAAAAGCAGGGCCCTACTGTATATTTACAGATGGGGTTGCAAAAAAAGTAAATGCTAGGGTGTTGGTGAGAGGGGTGGGTTTAAATTATGGGGAATCAAATACAAAATGGGAGTTGACACAGTTACTTTTTGCTGATGATTCTAAAGTTGCAAAGGTTAGTAGACGAGTTTGGGAGGGTGTGTAAAGGTAGAAAGTTGAAAGTGAACATAGATAAGAATAAAGTGATGAGGGTATCAAATGATTTAGATGGAGAAAAATTGGATATCACATTGGAGAGAGGGAGTATGGAAGAAGTGAATGTTTTCAGATATTTGGGAGTTGACTTTTCAGCAGATGGGTTTATGAAGGACAAGATAAATCATAGAATTGATGAAAGAAAAAAGGAGAGTGGTGAGTTGAGGTATTTGTGGAGACAAAAAAACATTATCCATGGAGGCAAAGAAGGGAATGTATGAAAGTATAGTGGTACCAACACTCTTATATGGGTGTGAAGCTTGGGTTGCAAATGCTGCAGTGAGGAGGCGACTGGAGGCAGTGGAAATGTCCTGTCTAAGAGCAATGTGTTGTGTAAATATTATGCAGAGAATTTGGAGTGTGGAAATTAGGAGGATGTGCAGAGTTACTAAAAGTATTAGTCAGAGGGCTGAAGAAGGGTTGTTGAGGTGGTTTGGTCATTTAGAGAGAATGGATCAAAGTAGAATGACTTGGAGTGCGTATAAATCTGTGGGGGAAGGAAGGCGGGGTAGGGGTCGTCCTTGAAAAGGTTGGAGGGATGGGGTAAAGGAGGTTTTGTGGGCGAAGGGATTGGACTTCCAGCAAGCATGTGTGAGCGTGTTAGATAGGAGTGAATGGAGACAAATGATTTTTGGGACATGACGAGCTGTTGGAGTGTGAGCAGGGTAATATTTTGTGAAGGGATTCAGGGAAACCGGTTAGCTGGACTCGAATCCTGGAAATGGGAAGTACAGTGGACCCTTGGTTTTTGTGTTTAATTTGTTCCAGAGCCATCAGCCAAAACCAAAACCATTTTCCCCATAAGAAATAATGTAAACAGAATTAATCCATTCCGGACACCCAGAAGTATCAACAAAATGTTTTTTTACCTTAAATATACATTTACATGCACAAAAGAATGAACATTAAACATGACACTTACCTTTATTGAAGGCTGTTGCTGCTGGAAGGAAGGCAGAGAGGAAGGGAGAGGGAAGATAGGTTATTGTTTGGAAGGGGATTCCCCCTCCATAAGGACTCTAGGTACCAAGCCCTTATCTGGGGGAACTTCCCTCCTTTGTTTTTTACTGTCACTAGGACCAGCTTGAGAGTCACTGGACCCATGTCGCACAAAATATCTGTCCAGATAGGTCTGTTTCTGGCTTCTCTTAAGATTTGTCTAAAATGGGACATGGCATTTTCATTGTAAAAGTCACTAGCACGGATTGCAACAACTTTCTCAGGGTGATGTTGCTCCACAAATGAATGCACTTTAGCCCACATTGCACAAATCTCATTAATCTTTGAAGAAGGCACCTTCTTCCATCTCTCTTCCTCCTCCTCCTCCTCTGAAGCAATTTCCTCAGCTGTGTTCTGTTGCTGTTGCAGATAAAGCTCTTGCAGCTCATCAGTGGTTAGCTCTTAATTGTGGTCCTCCACCAACTCTTCCACATCCTCCAAACTCACATCCAACCCCATGGAATTCCCCAATGCCACAACTGATTGCACAACAAGTGTAGGGGCGACAGGGTCAGCCTCAAACCCTTCAAAATCCTTCTTTTGGACACAATCTGGCCACAGTTTTCTCCAGAGTTCATTGTCCTGGAAGTCACTCCCTGCTAAGCCTTATCTATAAGGCCTATGCAATGGAAGATATTGAAGTGATTCTTCCAGAACTCTCTTAGGGTCAATTCAGAGTCTGCATTTATGTCAAAGCACCTTTGAAACATTGCTTTGGTGTACAGTTTTTTGAAGTTTGCAATGACTTGCTGGTCCATGGGCTGGAGGAGAGGAGTGGTGTTAGGAGGCAAAAACTTCACTGTTACAAAACTGAATTCCTTAGACAATTGGTCTTCCAAGTCTGGAGGATGAGCAGGAGCATTGTCTATTAAGAGGAGGCACTTGAGTGGCAATTTCTTATCCAGGAAGTATTTTTTCACACTGGGGCGAAACACTTCATTAAACCAGGAAAATTTCCCTTGCGACCCATGCCCTACTGTTAGCCTTCCACATCACACACAATTTACTCTTAACAACACTGTTTTTCTTCAACACTCTTGGATTTTCAGAGTGATACACCAGTAAAGGCTTCACTTTGAAATCCCCACTAGCATTACCATACAACAAGAGAGTTAGCCTGTCTTTCATAGGCTTGTGTCCTGGGAGTGCCTTTTTGTCCTGCATGATGTAGGTCCTCTTTGGCAATTTCTTCCAAAAGAGGCCTGTTTCGTCACAACTGAACGCTTGTTGGGGTTGGAATTTTTCAGACTCTACATAACATTTGAATTCCCCAACGAATTTTTCAGCCGCTTGTTTGTCTGAACTGGCACCCTCACCATGCCTTACAACACTGTACATGCAACTTCGCTTCTTGAAATTTTTGAACCAGCCTTTGCTGGCCTTAAATTCACTTTCATCACCACTTTTTTCAGGTAGTTTCTTTATGAGATCCTCATGCAACTGCCTTGCCTTTTCACAAATAATAGACTGCACAACACTATCTCCTGCTAACTCACTCTCTCTGATCCACACCAATAACAATTTCTTCACTTCTTCAATTATTTGGAATCTCTGTCTGGTTATTGCACTCACCCCTTTCGCAACATCAGCTTCCATGATTTCTTTTCTCTTTGCCACAATGGAGCTGATTGTTGATGGCGACTTCCCGTACATCCTGCCGAGTTCAGCAACACGTATGCCAGTATCATATTTTCTTGGGATTTCTTTTTTCAGTTCCATGGTGTTCCTCACTTTCTTTACCAAAGCATTGGCACTAGGAGCTTTCTTTGGGGCCATGGTTGCTTATTCAGCAGTCACAAACAATAAAGAAGTGGCAGAAACAATGGATTATTATGAAATGTTTCATATGACCTGGCAGGATATGTTCACTGACCAAGAAACAACACTACAATGGCTGAGAATGCGTGCGGGAGGCGGCTTTGTCTGCGCGCTGGGGACTGGACAGGTTCCGTACAATCGACAAAAACAGAGGTAATCGACGAAAACTAAAGCCAAAAATCAATGAAAAAAGTCAGCCAAAACCAAAATCGGCGATAACTAAGATCGACAAAAACCAAGGGTCCACTGTACAATGTTTGCACTTTAAAGCAGGGGTTTGGGATATTGGCAGTTTGGAGGGACTTCTAAACTGTCATATCTGCGTGCCTCCACAAAGACTGATTATGTATGAGGTGAAAGTGTTGAATGATGATGAAGGTATTTTCTTTCTGGGTATTTTTTCTTTCTTTTTGGGCCACCCTGCCTCAGTGGGATATGGCCAGTTTGTTGAAAGAAGTAATATAGTGGAAATAAATATGAATTACAAAAGTATTTATGGTACATACAGTATGAAATATTTAAGCTTTGGTAAATTAGCTTTACAAGGGTAACTCACCTCAATCTGGGCAGTATTTTCTCTGTAATGAGTCAGTGCCTTACTGTGCTTTTCATTGCCACTTTTGGAGAGTAATTCCTCAAGTTCCTTATGGTGTTTAGCTAGCTGATGGCACAATATGTAGATATTGTGTCCAACCTAGGAAACAAAAATAGTTAGGTGTATACCTAAAACAATTAGTTCCCTAATATATGTACCCTTCTGAAACCCCCAATCACCATCATTATCATCTCGAAAATTCCATTCTTGGAATCTTCTTCAGACATTTTTAGCACAGCATGTATGTTCAAATGATAAATGGCATTGTATAAAGATACAATAAACAGAACAAGCTCTTAATGGGACAACATTTTGCTCAGTATTGTGCTTAATCAAGTCATGACTTAATAAAGCTCAACAACGATAGAAATGTCCCACTTCAACATTCTGATAAATATCATTCAAAGATAAACTACTGTTCATGAATTTTGCATACAGGTTTAGCTATCATGCATGAAGTCACCACTTGCACAATGTGTTTAGACACAAAGTATGTAACAGAAAAATTAAAATGACTACTGCATATAACATTAATGCCCAATGGTGAAATCTGACGTCCCAGTGGTGAAATTTGACGTGTACTGATATCAAACAATTAAATGCTTCTTTGAGAATAAATTGAAATACCTTATTAAATTTTAATTAGATGAAAAACATTTAACAGGGCTGTACAAATGACAATGAAGCTTGCACTGTTGAAAGAAATTATGTATATAAATAGTTTTTATACCTACTAGAATCCTTGTCTGTTGAGGTTTATAAACTGTAACCTTAGCTGAAGTAACTGATAGTAGATATCAAAACTTTTTTTTTTTTTTGATAGGTATACTTGACAGCCCTGCCCAGCAATGTGAGTTTTACTATTTTGTAAAAAAAAAAAAGCTTTAGAATATTGAACACAAAATTTATTCTACTTTATTACCACTGCACAATAATACAATTAGCTTCAATGACAGCAGGTCACCTCAGAGACAAATTGTTGACTCAAATATAAAATACTGTTGACTCAAATATAACAAGTTGACTCAAATATAAAAAAATAAGTATATTCCAATGATAAAAAAAAATTACTGTACTCTTCTGAAGCTTAGACTACAAATAAAATAATACATACAGTGCTTGCATATAAAATCTAACCCATTAATACTAGGAGAATCTTACTTCTTTTGGAGAGACTCCATCATCACCATCAGGAGAACCCTCTTCAAAGAACTCATCTTCATCCATACTCTCCTGGTGGTACAAGTTGCATACCATATCCAGCTGGGAAGTGGAGATTAGACTAAATTTAGCTTTCCAGAAAGTTTATTAAATAAAGCAGATTTTCAAAATCTACACCTTTTTTTTTTTCACAAGCCTATTTCTGGTCAAATTTAACCAAATACAGACTTGAGAAAAAACACTGTTTCAGCCAGTACTTCAAGTATTTTGTATACAAAACAAGATATGCTGCCTTATAAGGAAAAAGAGTACCTTATATGGTAAATAAGTTTGTGAGAGGTTACAAGTGAGGTAACAAGTTTAAATCATGGGGAGAGAGAAAGAGACTGTCTGACTTCTCTCTCCCCATGACCTCAAATGAGACCTCTGAAAAGACCTCAAAGTGCTCATCTGCCTTATGAGGCAGTTTATTTGTATACCTGATAAAGTCCAGTCCTAGATGAAATATCATAATAAAGATTTCTCTATAAACACAGTCTTTCTCACTATCTGTCAGTCTAAGCCATTGTTCATCCTTTAAACAGATTTGTTGACTGATGACTTTAGAGAGAGTCTGTAAATATATTTCTGCTAAATATGTAGAAGAAAAGAGTAATTTATTATGGCATATACAGTAATACTGTACCTTTCCTAGTTGCAGTTCCTCAAAAACCAAGAAATGTTGAATATGAAATGATATTCAAAATATGTATTACATTTTTGAATAAGAGCAAACTTTTGAATTATAATTTGGTGACTTTCAATTCAGAAAAATCCTAATTCAGAATTTAAAAATAAAAGAGAGAATGTTTTCCAAAATTTTTGAATTTGGAATGACCTTAGAAACTTTGAAAGTTTGTTCTAACGAGGAGGAAAATTGTTGAAATTCAATTGGGAAAAATCTCTCTAATCTAATATTCTTTTTTTTTCTTTCGAAAATGGGTGATATTTGCAATACCCGATATTCTAGAATTTCTATAATTTCAACATTAATGCATATGCATTATTTTTAAAACAAAAGTCCAAGACTTCTGTACTGTGGGTAGGCTTGCCTTACATTACAAATGATACTTCAATTTCTCAGAGAAGTGATGCTTTATCTGAAACTCAGCAGTGAAGTATCAATCCAGGTAATCAGTGAACTGGTTCCACAGTATCAGTGTGTGTCAGTAAGATATTAGTTGAGAAAGACTAGAGTTTTGGATGATGTCTCAAATGACTTCTTGGAAGAGGTGGTAAGGGCACCTGGGAATATATTTTGTACTAAGTGGTAGTGTTAAATGTGAGGGCCAAGCCAAAATAGTGTAAACTCTGATACAGAAATGTGCACTTAAGAGCAAATGTTTTATTAACTGTCTTGGTAGCTATCTTAAATTTTTGTCAGCATTCCAGTCCAAGATCCTAAAGATAAAAAATAAAAAACTTGTGTATTTAAGGACTTTATGTGTGATTAGTTTAAGGGTTTAAATATAGGCAGTGTGTATAGTTTGAAGCTGGAGTCCGACATGTTTCACTGATGAGCAATGACTGACTTAAAATAGCTTAATGTTGATCTCCATGCACTTTTTGTTTATGCTATACTAAACACTTACCTTTCTACACTATTGTCTGTCCATATCTGACATGCAGTAATGGACAGACAATAGTGTAGAAAGGTAAGTGTTTAGTATGGCATAAACAAAAAGTGTTAAAATTTGTACCTAGAGTAACTCAGAAAGCTGTTAATATCAAAAGAATCTACATACCAGTTGGTCAATATGCATGCTTTGGAGAATCCGTTCTGCATTTTCTGAGTCAGCCCTTGATTCCATTATTGCCAAAAGCAATTTTGAAGCATTGTTCTTCAACTCTAAGACAAGGTCCATGCGAGCTTTTGCCAGTGGGTTGATATCACTAAGGATAAGTGCTGTTATGATGTGTAGCCCATTGGATTCATGAGTTGCTAAAACAAACAAAATACTCTGTACTACTTAAAAGAGGAAAATGAATAATGAGGGTGAAGTAAACATACTGCATATCATATACAAATTTTGAGTTCCAAGGATAAATGATATCGAGTGCATATAAACATGAAATTAAAATTTAAAATATCAACACTTGCTGACAGGCAACCCAGCCTAAACCAACCAATTCAACAAGTGTGTTGTTCAAATTGACTAATTTTTTTTTTTTTTTAACAAGTTGGCCGCCTCCCACCGAGGCAGGGTGACTCAAAAAGAAAGAAAACCCCCAAAAAGAAAATACTTTCATCATCATTCAACTCTTTCACCTCACTCACACATAATCACTGTTTTTCCAGAGGTGCTCAGAACACAACAGCTTAGAAGCATATATGGATAAAGATATACAACATATCCCTCCAAACTGCCAATATCCCAAACCCCTCCTTTAGAGTGCAGGCATTGTACTTGCCATTTCCAGGACTCAAGTCCAGCTATATAAAAATAACCGGTTTATAACAAAAAAAGGCACAATGACATGACTGGAACGATACACAAATAACCCGCACAAAGAAGAGAGGAGGTTACGACGACATTTCGGTCCGACTTGGACCATTTACAAAGTCACACTAATGAGAAGTAGAACAGGACGGGTATATATAGGCAGGGAGGAGGAGGAGGAGGAGGAGGAGGAGGAGGAGGAGGAGGAGGAGGAGGAGGAGGAGGAGGAGGAGGAGGAGGAGGAGGAGGAGGAGGAGGAGGAGGAGGAGGAGGAGGAGAGGAGGAGGAGGAGGAGGAGGAGGAGGAGGAGGAGGAGGGAGGAGGAGGAGGAGAGAGGAGGAGGAGGAGGAGGAGGAGGAGGAGGAGGAGGAGGAGGAGGAGGAGGAGGAGGAGGAGGAGGAGGAGGAGGAGGAGGAGGAGGAGGAGGAGGAGGAGGAGGAGGAGGAGGAGGAGGAGGAGGAGGAGGAGGAGGAGGAGGAGGAGGAGGAGAGGAGGAGGAGGAGGAGGAGAGGAGGAGGAGGAGGAGGAGGGAGGAGGAGGAGGAGGAGGAGGAGGAGGAGGAGGAGGAGGAGGAGGAGAGGAGGAGGAGGAGGGAGGAGGAGGAAGAGGAGGAGGAGGAAGAGGAGGAGGAGGAAGAGGAGGAGGAGGAAGAGGAGGAGGAGGAAGGAGGAGGAGGAGGAGGAGAGAAGGGAGGAGGAGGAAGAGGAGGAGGAGGAAGAGGAGGAGGAGAAGAGGAGGAGGAGGAAGAGGAGAGAGGAGGAGGAGGAGAGGAGGAGGAGGAGGAGGAGGAGGAGGAGGAGGAGGAGGAGAGGAGGAGGCAGAGAGGAGGAGGAGAGAGGAGGAGGCAGAGGAGGAGGCAGAGGAGGAGGCAGAGGAGGAGGCAGAGGAGGAGGCAGAGGAGGAGGCAGAGGAGGAGGCGGAGGAGGCAGGAGGAGGCAGAGGAGGCAGAGGAGGAGGAGGAGGCAGAGGAGGCGGAGGAGGCAGAGGAGGCGGAGGAGGCAGACGAGGCGGAGGAGGCAGACGAGAGGCAGACGAGGCAGGGACGAGGCGGAGGAGGACGGGGAGGAGGAGGAGGTGGAGGAGGCGGAGGAGGCGGAGGAGGCGGAGGAGGCAGAGGAGGCGGAGGAGGCAGAGGAGGCGGAGGAGGAGGAGGCGGAGGAGGAGGAGGCGGAGGAGGAGGAGGCGGAGGAGGAGGAGGAGGTGGAGGAGGCGGAGGAGGAGGCGGAGGAGGCGGAGGAGGCGGAGGAGGAGGAGGAGGAGGAGGAGGCGGCAGAGGAGGCAGCGGAGGAGTTGGAGGTGGAGGAGGCAGTAGTAGTAGTAGTAGTGGTGGTGGTGGTAGTAGTAGTGGAGGAGATGGAAGGAAGAAGCAATGGCGAAGTAAGGAGGAGGAGCCAGTCAAATACAAAGAAAGGGGAGCAATGCAAAAGAGCTAGGTGCCCACAGAGGAAGAGCAAGAACACAGAGATGGGGGGGAGGAGAAAAAATTAAATAAATAATGAAGGAACAGAAACACAAGACAGAAGAAAGAAAGACAACTCAGAAGAGAAAAAAGTAAAGAGGAACGGGGAAGAGCGAGAAGAAGAAAAAGGAGGAATCAGGTTAAGTCATGGTTGCTCTCAAGTTTGGAGCATTTTACAATGTAGTGGGAGAGGAAGGCATCTACAGAGACAAAGCCAGGACTAAGATTCATACAAGGAAAGTTGTGTATTAGGGAGGATTCAACAAGACTGCGACTGTTAAAGTTGGAAGTAGGGAAGACAGTTTTAGCAGAATACCAGTCTATAGGATGGCTGTGATCTCTGACGTGACAGAAAAGAGTATTGTTAGTGTTGGCAAGCCTAACACTATTTTTGTGCTCCCTAAGTCTGTCAGAAAGAGATCAGCCAGTTTCTACAAAGTATTGAAGAGGACAGAAGGAGCAAGAAATAGAGCAGACACCAGGAACATCTGTAGAGGGAGGAGACGTATGAACGAGATTAGTGCGAAGAGTGTTAGTCTGGCGGAAAGTAAGCTTGATGTCTAAGGGACAGAGAGAATTGTTGAGATTAGAAAGACCGGATATGTAGGGAAGGCAGAGGACAGAAGAGTTCCCAGGAGTAGAGAGTTTGGGAGAGAAGCAATTATGTTTAGCGTGTGAGAGGGCAGAGTCTATGAAATGGGAAGGGTAGCCAAGACGGGAAAACAAATTATGAAGAGTGGAAATTTCTGCTGGAAGGAACTGAGGATCACAGATGCGGAGAGCACAGAGGAAGAGGGAGATAAGAACAGTTTTCTTGACAGGGCAAGCATGATAGGAAAAGTAGTGAATGTACATGCCACTGTGCATAGGTTTGTGGTAAACAGAAAAGGAAAAAACTGTATCTGAGCAGTGGACATGGACATCAAGGAAAGGAAGCAAGGAATTAGACTCCCATTCAGCTTTAAACCTAATGGAAGGGGCAAGATTATTAAGAACTTCAAGTAAAGGTTGGAAGAGACTGGAGTCATGAGGCCACAGAGCAAAGATGTCATCCACATAGCGGAGCCAGAATGAAGGGCGCACATCGATGGTAGGAAGAAGAACAGTCTTGAAGTATTCCATGTAAAGATTAGCAAGGACAGAAGAGAGAGGAGAGCCCATAGTGACACCGAAGGTTTCAGAATAATATTTCCCTTGGAAGGAAAAGGGATTAGAGTCCACACAGAGGCAGATAAGATCAAGAAAGACATCAATAGGTATAGGGAGATAAAGAAACCCTTCATGGACCTTCTCTCTAAGAAAATCAAGGACATCATCAAGAGGGACATTGTGAAGAGGGACTCTACGTCAAGACTAAGCATCTTACAGGCCGGGAGAGGGCGAACTCATTCAATGAAGTCTTGAGTGACGGAGGTGGGCAAGAGAGAAAGTACCAAGAAAGGGAGTGAGGGTTTTGGCCAGCCAAGAAGCAAGAGAATAAGAGACAAAACCTCTAGAGGAAATGATAGGACATAGAGGAATATCAGGTTTATGAGTTTTGGGAAGGCCATAGAAATAGGGAAGAGAGGGACAGATGACACGAAACCGTTGAACAAGGTCAAAGTCAGGAGGACAGAGGTCGGAGAGAGTCCTTAGTTTCTTGTTGAAAGTTCTTTTTATGCAATCAAGAGGGCTGGAAACAAGAAGAGTGTAGGCACGTGAGTCAGAGAGCAAGACATCAGCTTTACAGAGATAATCCTCGTGATCAAGGATAACTACCGAATTACCTTTGTCAGAAGATAGTATGACAATGTTAGTGTTAGATTTAAGAGAAGAAAGGTCAAGTTGGTAATGGCGCGGAAGGTGGTGGTTCTTAGAAAACAGACTATTAAGAGCAGGAAGGAGAGCGCCACGAAAAGTGGACAAGTCAGGAAGATTATGGGAGCGAGATTGACGAAAAGTATCAAAAGAGCTAATCAGTTCAATACCAGCGCGAGGGGCAGGTGAAGTGGCAAAGGAAAGGCCAAAACAAACCAAGAAGTTCAAGCTCATACTGAGAGAGTGAGACAGAAGACAAGTTAGTAACACAGTCAGTGTTACTAACTTTGACTGGCTCCTCCTCCCTACTTCCCCATTGCTTCTTCTTTCCATCTCCGCCGCCACTACTACTACCACTACCTCTTCCTGCCTATATATACCCGTCCTGCTCTACTTCTTGTTAGAGTGACTTTGTAAATGGTCCAAGTTGGACCGAAACGTTGTCGTAAGCTCCTCTCTTCTATGTGAGGGTTATTTGTGAATCGTTCCAGTCACGGTATTGTGCCTTTTTTGTTATTTATGGACCCCGCAGTTAAGCGTCATATTCTTTCCAACTTTTTTTATGTTCTTCCCTCTTTTAAACCCCTCTCTCGATCTTATGAGGCTGCTCTTATTGCTACCCGGCGTCGTAAGAATCAGCTTCGCTTCCTACGTGACTGTCTTGCTAAACAAGTCCTGCCCCCTTCCTTCTCCCATTTCCTGAAACCCAACCCACTGGGCACTCCCTTTCCTGATCATGCCAGTCTCCTACTTCAGCAGCTCATTCTTTCTACTAAATCTCAGGTTGAAGATGCCTTCTTTACTTTCCGTCAGCGTCAACATGCTCTCTTTGTGGCTCTACCACAAGATCTCTGTAACCTTCTCTCTACCATTGCCTTTGACACTGCTCGCCTGAATGCACAAATTCATTCTTCTAAACTACAGAATAAACTTCAACGTCTCATCTCAGATAGCCCTTGGTCTAAATTCTCCCTCACTGACTGTGTTACTAACTTGTCTTCTGTCTCACTCTCTCAATATGAGCTTGAACTTCTTGGTTTTGGCCTTTCCTTTGCCATTTCACCTGCCCCTCTCGCTGGTACTAAACTGATTAGCTTTTTTGATTCTTTTCATCAGTCTCGCTCCCATAATCTTCCTGACATGTCCACTTTTCGTGGCGCTCTCCTTCCTGCTCTTGATAGTCTGTTTTCTAAGAACCACCACCTTCCGCGCTGTTACCAACTTGCCCTTTCTTCTCTTAAATCT